AAGCTAATATAGATTAAGGGGGTCGACTGAATGGGTTAACCATCAGATTTTCGACTGACCCCTCTTCTTCTCTTCCTCTTCTTCTTCTTCTTCTTCTTCTTCTTCTTCTTCTTCTTCTTCTTCTTCTTCTTCTTCTTCTTCTTCCTGTTCGGACTACTGTAGCAGCAGTCGAAATAATATAATTTAATAATTATATAAAACATTTAAATATTTTATATATTATATATAAGAATTAAATAACTGATCAAATTCGGATATTTATCGAATATCCGAATTCAACCAATTACAACATTCGAATTATCCAAATTCAATTTGATTGTGTCAAATCTTGAATTCGAAATTGAATTTTCAAATACCATTGACACCCCTATATAGATGTGACCCCATAGAGGGTTCCTACATAAAATTGCCTTCAAAAAGAGTCACAAGGGGAGCTATTCTTGCTCATTCTTGATGACACATGGAATGAATCCAATGAAGATTCAGAAGGATTGACAAGCAAAAGATGTCAAGAATCAAAGCAAGAGAACAGGGATATCTGCAGGCAAAGTCAAACAAGGTGAAGGAATTGGCTGAACCCTCGAAGGGGCTGTATACATACCCTCCAACAAAGGATCAGACTGCTGTAGTTTGTCGACTCTTCAATTCCAGCAGTGAGGGGTCAAAGGTGTGTGTGTGGAGAGAGAGAGAGAGAGAGAGAATGTCAGGTATTTAGCTCCAAGTCTATTGGGTCCCCATGTGAGTATGAGGGCCCCTATTTATGCTATTCTCTACTACTTCTGCTTATACCAGGCCATGGGTTCAAGCCAGGTTGACAAGATTTATTGCCTTCTACAAACCCATTATCTTACACCACCAAAGCCCAAATTTATGTTTTGAGACCCGTAACAAATATATACTAGAAGAAAATAAAATACAAAAGAATATAACGTTTGTATTTTATTTTATATAATAATATTAATTATACATCATTTATGTTATATAGGTGAGGGAAATCCTTATCCTGCTGCTTGTGGCATGACTCCTGCTTTCTGACTTCTACCTTGCATCCAAGGTGAAAATTACTGATTGGATCACTTCACTTGTAGTTTGGCTCCCAAAACAAAGTCTGCATTCTGCACATAGAGAGCTTCACTGCTCAGGAGAGAGAAGTTTAGGCATGCAGTGAAATGGAGAAGGGTGTTGATTGCTGAATGTGAAGGCAAAGAAGATGATCAAGGAGGAAGCAATAGAAGGAGGAAAGACAATTCTGAAGATTAGAGAATCCGGAAAGGGACTGTAATGCTTGGAGGAGAAGTAGTTGTGTGGTTGAAAGGCCTCATGTATGGAGGAACAAGATTGCAGATGAAAGAAGGCTTACCGTGGAAAGAAAAGAAAATATAATAAAGGTAGGTTTATTAAGTTTAATGGAGACAATATTCAAAGGGCAAGAACCAACTCATCTGCTTCCCTGAGGGCAGACAATAGATCTGCTTCTTATCCTTGTACAGGGAAGCATAGCCATCTCCACATTCCTTCAATTTATTGGTTAGAAAATATCTTCAGTGGCATACCACATTTGATGTTTTTGTCCATAAACATTTTCCCACTTAGGTGTCTATGTAGATTCCATTCTTTGTAAATTTAAAAAATTCTTTTAGAATCAATATCCTTGTCATAGGAATAGACTTAGCCCTAATATCCAGATAATCATATTATTCAAATAAAGATATCATTTCAAGCAAAGAGCACCACAGTGTTGACTACTGAGCTAAATATGAGACCATATGGGCCATAGTAAAAAAATGAGACTCAACGTGTGGTGTTTATATTCCTACATTATATTAACCACTTTGAGACATTTTTCCAATAAAAGAAAATTCAAAATGGCTTTGTAAATTCATACTGAATCAAAAGTTTAAGGCCCATTGGGTGAATACACTCTTGCATATGTTCTGCTTCTATATGTTGAAGTTATGTAACTGTCTCATCAATCATCATTATCTACAAAAGCACCTCTATTGCAATAAAGATAAACTCACTAGTAGCTACAAAACCATATTGAGTTCATATAAAAAAATGCATACATGGAATTGATGCACCACCACTAAATAAGAGTATGTCTACCAAAACATCATTCTGTAGTAGCCAGAGCTGAATGTAGAATTTCTTCAAGGTATTTCTCTGCAGCAGCATATTGCCTTCTTTTATCCTCAATAGCTAAAGCAGCTAATGCTTTATCCTGCACAAATAGAATGTTCTGAGATTCAATTTACCTTTATACAATACAAAAATAACTAGAATCCATTTTGACTGAGACAAGTACAGGAGGCAAATCTTGGTAGCTTCTCAAGGTATCCATGATAGGCTTTGTCATCTTCTCCAACTCCTTCTTATGTTCAGCCATTTCAACCAAAACCCCATGGCTAATCTCTGGGGTGTAGCCCACACGATTCAATAATGCCTGGTTCCAAAGAATATGAAGTATGAAAAATACATAATTTAAATTATGATACATAGAAGCACAATGGTCAGAAAGCTCAATGTTTTTACATGAACAGAGAAAAAAGGATCAACTTAGAGACTGGTGATAGAAAAAGCATGGCTGACATACATAATAATCAGATCTACCAATGGCATAAAAGCTTGAACAACAACTTAAAACTTAAAATGAAAGAGATTATGCAATTTACAAATACATGACAGACAGCATCAACTTGAAGACATAATTTCACAATAGCAGACAAGCAGCAAGTTACCATTACAAGACAGCACAATGAATTTTAAGAAAGTTCCTCTAAGTAACTGGTGTTTATCCCCAAACCGATATATCATGTGTGGATTGAGTGGTGAGACTGCTTTTCACTTACTAAACTCCTACCCTTTTGTCTGTTATATTTGGGGGTGGTTCTTTTCTCTTTTTAGTTGCAGATAGGGATGGCAATTTCATGGGAATTTTCAGGTATCTGACCTGTACCAACCCTAATAGGGTCCATTTATTCAAAACTATATAGGGTTTGGGATGGGTTTGGAATTTTAGATCAAAACCCTATAGGGTTTGGGACATGTTTGGGTTTTGACTTTAGGGTATCCGGTACCTAAACCTAATTATACTTAACACAGGTACCCACTTCCAATACCCAATTATAAACCCGTATATACGTTATTAAATATGTCTTATACATTTTAAAGAAATAATATACATTGTAAAAAAGGTTGAGAGAGGATTCAAACCCTTGCCCTTATTAAGTATTGTAGGAATCTTTAGCACTGGCCTACCACACCATTTCTACTTCAGAGGGGGGCATCACAATTCTTATGTGAAGTAAAACCAGGTGCAACCGTTCAAGGTTCAACGTATCAGAAAATGCAAAGAATACTAAAGAGGTAATTTAAAGAAACGTATCTGGTTTCTAGATATGCTTTAGATAAACATGGATATGGTGGAAAAATTAAGATACACATGGACACGCCATGGAAATTCAAATATTTATTAAAAATGTATGAATTAATATATAATCTATAGCTCTAATAACTCTATACATAAGAAACATGTATTTTAATAACTTATGACTTTATGTGAAGTGTAAAGTCGCCATAAAAATGGAAATTGTAAGCTATCATAATATCCCAAAGAAAAGTTAGCATGCATAGCTTATCAAACTAATATTATACACCTCATTAAGATCATGTAAAAGGTTATGAAGTTTAAAATAAACTAAGTTTAATAAATAATGATGATATGTCATGGTAGAAAAATTACATTCTCTTATGAAATTAGCCACCCAAAAACATCTAAAATTACATTCTCTTATGAAATTAGTCACCCAAAAACATCTATTAAATGGATAATTGGGATTATAGAGGCAAAAAGCATTCAGAGCTAGTTTGATTATGGCTAGAGACCAGGGTATAATATGGTTGCTCATCAATTAAATGAATTTTCTGTACTTTAAATAGGCATGAATATAATATGGTTGTTCATCAATGCTATTTAGCAAGATAGTGAGGAGTGTTCTAGTGGCTAGAATATGACAATATGTATGTTTCAACTTTCAATTAATCCATTTCTACATAATTTACTCAAAATACTTGTGCAAGAAATAATCCATTAAGTTCATATTATAAACAAAGTTTACATAGATAACAAAAAATTACAACATAATATCAACAGCTCTAAATTTTATAACAGGTGAAGTATTAGATGATTAAATCCATTCCTACATAATGGAATTTATTCAAAATACCTGTGCAAGAAACAATCCATTTCAATGGCACAGAAGGAAGATGAATTCAATAATCCAGTGTAATGGCACAAGAAGCAAACTAATTCCAAGTAGATAAGCTACTAAAGTATGTATTTTGTAAAGGTTACAAAGTCGACATTTAGAGAAAACCAAAACAGTAATTTTATATAATGTTGCAGTTCTTGTTCTGATAAGGCATGACACATAAACCATTTCTCATTTCAAACACGAAAATCTTATTCCGAGGCTTAATTGATTAAAACTCTAAGCAGGTTAAGTTTTGCATGCCCTCAACATTTTTTTTTTGAATTCACCTTTAATTTGGATTCAAGATCACCAAAGGTCAAACCAGTTAAGATTCATTCCCCCTTCTGAACTTGGTAGGAAATACAATAAAAATACAGTATATACGGAGAAAGTAAAGTTGTACCCCATAATTAGAATATTGTTGCAAGTATTGCCGCTCTTTCGATGCCATAATTGCCAAATTTGTCTTCCACTGAAGCATTTGAGCCTCACAGGCAGGTACATCATCTTCCAATTGTGCAAGCGTTCTACAAACAGAGGAAAACATTTATTTCACAATTTCTTCTGTTTGAATATACACAAATATCGACTGACAAGGATTTAAAGATGAAACCTTTTCAAATAAGTTAGCCTTGCAATCGCCTTCCGAGTATAGTCAAGGAGCACTTTGGATTCTTTCTGTACTTTAGCCCTCTTCTCCTCTACCCCCGTCTTCCTCAAAGAAATATCCGCCATTGCTACAAGAAAACTGAATCCATTTTCACATCATCAGTATCTTACTGCTTCAATATTCTGAAACACAGATACATAAGAGACAGATGGGGAGGGCTCACCTACTCATTTCTGTGTCTCTTATATTTAACAAATTTGCCACATTCGCAAGAACCTGTGCTGATGCAACAATATTCGACGACAAACTCTCTTGTGCCAATCCCGCACTCTCCAATATCTCCCTGATTCTCGCAGCTGAAATTGTATAAGTTCCGTATAAAATAAAAGGCAGTTAAGCTTTAATAAAAAAAAAAAAAAAATGTATAGAGGTAGAACCTTGGGAACGGTATTCTTGAGCTTTCTGTCGGAGATCGGCGGCAAGGATTCCGGCGGCCTGGGACTTGGCTTGGGAGGCAGTGCCAATAGAATGCAAATGAGCGACACTTCGAGGAGTGTATTCGAATTCCGGAACGTCCTTGCCGGCGGCATCAAATTGGGAAGCGAGCCAGGCTTTAACTTCGGCGATTCGGGCAGTGTCAAAACCGCTCTTTGATTCCGATCCTGGAGTAGGATCGGCAGTGGAAATCAGATCACTCATTCTTCTCAAAATTCGTATCTTTCAAGCCTGCAACCGACGGGGGTGGTATGAATATGGAGGTCCGGGGAATTAGAAAATGGATCTTGACATCTTACCACCTCTCACGGGATTTAAAAGAAGGGGGCGGGGGTTGAGAACTGAGAAGAGTTTTAAAGCGAATATTTAATTAGAGTTAATTAAATATTAAGGAAATTAATTTTCTGCAAATTAAATATTCCAACAACATAATCAAAACAAAAAACGTTTATGAAAATAATTTTGTGAAAATTATGTACTGCAATAAAATATCACAATTAAACAAATTTCAGAAAATAATTAAACAAATATCTAAAAAAATATTCTCAAAAAACAAATTGAAAACTAATCTGAAAAATTACTAATGATTACTGTATCTAAAGAACAATTTAATAATTATTGTTCTTGTAAATGACTAACTAATTTAATTATAATTTAAAGAATTCAATTATAATGTAAATAATTTAAACAATTTAGTAATTTAATGATAGTTTTCTAAAATGAGTTTAATTTTGGTAAATTAGTTTTCTGAAAATTCATTTAATAAATTCTTACAGTAAATTAATTTTCTAAAACAGATAATAATTATTATAATTTAATTGTTAAAATAAATTATTTACACTAAATATTCCAACCCGACACACGTGACCAAATATCCAAATTCCACCCCATCAGCACTTGAACTGAATATGAATGTCAAACCCACAAGGTAGCGTCGACACTCGCCACAAAAACATCTCTAGACCGTCTATCCCAAAAAACTTTTAGCGGTCCTACTTTTACCCAAAATCTCCGCTTCACTCCATCAAGCCAACCCCTAACTCTAATCGAGTTGCCAGTCAACCCCTACCACTAGGGGACAATAACTTATCACACCGTACTGGTCCGGCAACCCGTCCATAGCCATACCCCTTAGACACCTCATATAGCCAAATTTACCAAGTTACCCCATAGTGACACGTGGACCAAAAGAGGGGTGTGTTGGCGGCCAAACTAGGACGAGCACTCTAGAATGTTCCAAATTTTGAAATCAATTTTCTGTCATTTTGGAACAAAACTGTCCTCTAAAAGCAATAGTACCCATCATCTTCTCCACCTAGAAGGATCAACTTCATGGAATCCTTTTTTTTCTTGAAAATAATGTTTTATATTTATTTATAGATAAGAAGAAAGATGAAGAATGAGTCGAAGCCTCTATTATGCAGGAGAATGGGGTGGAACCCCTGTTTTTTGTCAAATGTAGAGAGCCAAAGACATACCTGTAACATAAGTTTCGTTGATCCCTGAAACTGGTGCATGTGACACAAACTCGATCTTAGAGGAAGGAAGGTGCAGGTAAACTTGGCGACGAGAGCCTTGAGGCAATTTCTAGTCCGTGTCGATAGCATTTCGAACAGGAAGCAACTCTAACAAGGATAGAGAAGAAGGTGGTACTCGGTGTCTGTAACCTCTCGAACGTAAAGGAATATGGTCGCTAGTCAATGTCGATAGCCTTTTGACCAGGACGCAACTCCAACAAAGACAAAGGATGGTGGAGAAGCCATCGATGACAAGGGCCTTGAGGTAGTTTTATCAAACAGGACGCAACTCCGATCAAGACATATTCTTCATGCTTACATCGGTAGCCTTTCGATCAGGGTGCAACTCCGGGAAAGACAAAGAGGAAGGTGGAGAGGCCCTCGATGATGAGGGCCTTGAGGCAATCGGTGCCCGTAGCTCTCGAACATGAAGAATATGGTTTTAAATAAGAAGGGGCATTTTCGTACAAAATTATGTGACATATGTACAAGGTGGAGTTGAAAATAAAAACTGATTTATTAACTGGATTTGACGCGGTTTGTGTGGTGCTTGGCCAGTAAGTCACGTTAGGCCTGTGACTTTATAACCTTTTTGATATGCCTCTCTCTCAATTGATGTACATGTCTAAACCATCTTAGTATTTACATTTCTACACATGTTATTTCTTTGCTACATATCCAACACTCTACTCCATACAAATAGTTGCTCTTATAACTGTTTTATAGATTTTCTTTTTAATCTAAGTGGTATCCACCTATCATATAATAGTCTATACATACCCCTTCGCTTTGCCTATTCTCCTCTGATTCTTTGGGCAACATCCTCATCACGAATTATTGAACCAAGGTACAAGAAAACGATCACATTGAGTTATCTATTGTTTTCTAATCCTAAGTATATTTTGATTTACACTCCTATCATTACTAAATTTATGTGTAATAAATTCTATTTTATTCTTATTTATTTTAAAACCTCTTGTTTCTAAGGCATTTATTTATAAGATTAATTTTGCATTTAATCATTCATTAGTTTCATCAATTAAAATAATGTCATCTATAAATAACATGCACCATGGAACTTCTTTTTGAATATGTTTAATCAATTCATCTAAGATTAATGCATATAGATAAGGGCTAAACATGAACCTTAATGAAAGCCATAATTACTATAAAATCGAATCATGTTTTACAAGTAGATTTGGTTTGTTTCACTATAATCAAATTGAATCCAAATCAATTTAGAAAAATGGCTGATTTATTTGTAGTTATGCAATTGTAGAGTAATTTCATTGCGTTGGTAACATCATGTAGGCATTTTCAAATCTTGTTTGTTTGGTTGATTTTTATGTAATTAAGCCATTAGTGTTTTTTATTTTATATCTTATCTTTAATCGATAGTTAAATAATTATTTAATCATTATTATTTACTTAACTGCTTAATTATTTAATGTGTTTTTATTAGTTACTAATTACATATTAATTGTTAACATTAAATAATATTTTAATTTATGAGTTTATATTATATTATAAATACTTATTAATTACTTAATGATATAAATAATTTATCATTAATTAGTAATTATTTATTTATTCACTATTAAGTATGAAATAATGATTGTTACTTTTTATTTATTTAGTCAAACTGTTTTATTAATAATTTATTAAATATTTAATAATAGGTCACGGGTATAATAGTGACTCATAGAAATATTACAATGATGGTGTTAAATGAGAATGGTGTAATTCCACTTATCAATAATTGAGAACTATAACCCCACTTTTTTTTCCAATCTCATTCCATGACATCCCACAAACCAAATATGGGAAGGGAAGAATATTCAAAAACATCCATTTTTTTTTTCTCTCTTCATCTTCAATAGAATCTAAAAGTGATCTTAAGAAGAAGTATCATTTGGATATCATGATAAGAGGGATGTTGTGTGGTCATTTTGTCCTATCACCTATTTAACACTTAGTGGTGCTTATACTACTAATTGTTTGTACTTCAAAATTTCTAAGAATCAATGACATAAACTAAGGCTGCATTTTTTTTTTGTGTCTGTGTGTGTAAATTCAAATCGGTGTAAAACGCTACTCTCGGTCCATATTGTTGGTGTTTGGTTGGAGTGTAGTTTTACATAAAAAATCGATGTAAATTCCACTTATGGTAGAGTTTTACATCGATAAAGTATATGTAAATATTTACATTGATAATCACACTTTTCAAAGTTGCAACAGTTCACTCATTTAAATTGTTGACATTTATTTTATTATTTTAAATTTATTTATTACTTAATTTAAATAGGTTATTCATGTTGATTTTTTTTTTAATTTGGGCTATACATATCACTTAGTAAAGAAATATGCTAAACGTATTGATTCAAGTTACGTAAGTCGTGCCATGCCACATGTATAATAAATATGTAATTATGTTCTTGTTTGAAAATTTTGAAATGATTAATTTCATCATTTTATATTTATATCAACCTATATGTTTGAATGCTTATGTCTTAACATGACATGAATATAATACAAAAATAGGAATTACCACCCTTAAGTAGATATCAAGTGTATAATGCTTGATGTATATGATGCTCTACTCTTTGAAAATCTTCTTTTGAGCAAAATTGCTAAATTCATCTATACTTCATCTACATCTAGTCAATTATATCTCATAATGTGTAACTTCTTCTGACAGCTATCATCTAAGAGAAACTTCTTTAATTGCATCCCAAATGCCTTGGCCTCATCTATTCAAACTAGAAAAGATGTTAGCGCATGAGTTATTTAGAATGCTATTTAGGTGGACCTTTATTTCTTGGCAGATCAAGAACAAATGATTGGCAATATCTCATTGACAAATTGCACTCAGAATTTGTTGGATGGAAGACCAATTTATTATCCCAAGCTAGCCATACAATGTTGATTAAATCCACACTAGAAGTAGTCCCCACTTATGATGCACACTCATATCTTATCAAAAGAACTTGCAGACGGATGGATGCTATATATAGGGATTTTTGGTGATGAGCAATTCATGGAAATATGAAGTTTCATCTCTATTATTGAATGTCTCTTCTTAAACCTAGAGTTGAGGTGACCTTGCCTTAACAATGGCTGAACAAAAAAAAATCAATCACTTCTTATGAATTTAACTTGGTGCTTTCATTGAAATCCACACATGGGCTCAGATTATATAGGCTAAATATTTGAAATGAAACAATTTATTGGAGTGCTCCAATCAAACATGAATGTTCTTCCACTTGGTCCTCAATGTTAAAGACACGTGATACTTTCTTTCAAGGTGTGAAGTGATCCATTGGCAATGGGTGGGGAGTGGAGTTTTTTAGTGACCCATGGGTGCATGCTGGTTTTCTTCTTTAATGCAATGGCAATGTGATCTATTGCACTTAGTCTTACAAGAATGGCATAATCCTATGTTAACCTAGTGATGCAAGTACAACTACCAACTAGGTGTGCAGATCTATATGATCAAGTTTATTGGATGTTCACACCTCATGGAAATTATTCTCCTTCTTTTGTTATGAAAATTATTGAGGATTCTTAGTCATCTACTTTATCTAGTAACTATATCTTTGCTAATCTGACATGATAAAAATTTTGGTCTTTGAAAAATTTCGCCCCTTCCCTTAAATTGTTCATTTGAAGATGTGTTAAACAATTACTTTCTACTCGATATCGTTTGAATAGATTTTTTGTATGTTATTGGTGTTACTTACCTAGTTTGCCACAATGCCATAGTCTTTGATCCACCTTTTGGTATTGTGTCTTGGAGCAAAAACTGTTTGGTTAAGATCTATTAATTTTAGACCCCATGACAATTCAATATTGGATATTTCAGACCTATTTCTTTCTTGGTGGCAACATGACAAGACGTTGACTGATGAAGTAAATGGATGATTTTTCAAAGGGAGTATCTACATGAAGCATATATGGTAGGTTATAAATGAAATGTTGTTTGGGGGAGTTCCTTTCAATCTTATTAGTACTAGTAAGCATGCACATCCTTTGCACGTGGCAATTCTAAATGATAATAATTATAGTAATAATCTATTCAAATTTTATTATAAACTTATGTATTTTTTATTTTATATTGTTTATTATTAATCGGATGTAGATTGCGAAATCCATATCTGAATACAGAAACACCCCATTCAAATATGTGATAATCGGATCGAGTTGTGAAGTTTCAAATATCAATGATAGACCTACCAATTTGGCTAAATTATTATTTTTGTAATGTTTTATCTTTCTGGTGTTATCTTTTTGTTTTTTTGGAAATTCAGTTATCTTCTTTAAAAGGCATGCTGAATATTGAATATTTGGTTTTCAATAAATGGATAGGTGTTCCATCACTAACTCAATTAATTATATTATAATTTTAATTGAACATAATACAATATGATTAAATTATAAAAATCAATTTATTTAATTAAAATTTCCACCACGAAGCTAATATTAAAAGTTAACTTGCTTCTTGATAGCATTAAAAAAGGATAAAATAATACAAGTTAGTAATTTTTTTAGTTTTAATGTTTATTTTCAATAGAATGTAACAATGGAATAATTAAATTGAAAAAATAATAAGTAAAATTTTTGTAAGGGATAACCCCTCTATTTCTAAGCGAAGTTGAATGAAAGGCTTCTTATAATCTTAAAAAAAAGAAAAGGATCATAACCAACAAACTATATCTATAAGAAAAAACTAATAAATTGAATATTTTATACTATATAAATTTATTATATAAGTAAAAAAAATTGATTTTTATTTATTTTTTCATTTATGGCATAATATTTCGGACTTGGGTTAAATCCAAATCCGATGGGAAGTCGACATCACATCCGGATGCAAAATGGAGATCCGAATCCCACCCGATTACAGATCAATCGGGACCTTACACCCTATGCAGGCTGTAATAGGAGTTCAACGGGTAATCCAGGTCGATAGTGCATTTCTACGGGCCTGTTTCACTTTAGGTGTGTACGTTAAGCAATACTGCAATAGTTCCCTCGGTCCCGGGACGGGACTGGAGGACAGCCGTTGTTCTGAGAATTTCATACTATTGGTGGAGGGAAAGATTCAAAATAGATGGAGAAATCACTCATTTTTTCTCTGCGGTGTCTGAAACTCTGCGCAAAAATTATCCAAGAGTTCATCTTTTAATCCTTGTCTCATCTTCGGCCCCCTTTTAATGGAATCACTCCCGTTTCCGCCACTACCACCACCAGCATCGCATCCTTCGTTTCCAACGCTTTCTATGAACTTAATCTCTGCTAACCTTAGAACAAAAGTACACTTCAGTTATTCTATATTCAGGCGCTTTTCCGTGTCTTCCCTAGAGTTGACGAGTACCCATGAGCTGGTTCGTAGTAGGAGTTGTAGAAAGAGGAATCTATTGAATGGTGTAGGGGTTAGGGCTAAAGTTTCTGATGACGAGCTCAAGGAGAGGTGGTTAGCTTCTCTCTCTTGCCCATTTTCTGAAATTGCTAGGAAGCCGACTGATGGAGGAGAGGAACCCGCTAACAATTCTGGTTCGGAGTGGGTAATCGGCATTGATCCGGACGTTTCGGGAGCCTTGGCGCTATTGAAGAATGACGAGTCAGATTGTTCTGCCCAGGTAATGACTCGCTCTGACTGTTTTATTATTTTCCTTTTTTCTCTTTAGTGTATTCTTGTTGTCTACGTTTCCGTCATTTCTAATGCCAATATCACAGACGCTATTTGGTTTTGAATGGCGAAGTTCTCTGATTTACTATTGTAAGGTTTCATCTTTATATGGGGCTGGCTGAGTTTTACCGGTTTTTAACAGAAGCCCCATTATACACTGTGTATGACATGTTATTTTTACCTTTTTATCTTAACCTCATTTCAATTAATGCTGATTTAACATTTGTAGTGGTGCTGCCAAGGAATCCCACCAACTCACAAGTCACAACCATCTTTGGATCACTTTTAATAACCAGGATACTAAGATCCAGTGATCTCGCAATCCTTAATCCTTGTGTCACTGTTGTTAGCTCTGTTGCGATGGAATCCTCATGACCAATGGGACCTGATAACATGACTACTTTTGTGCCATAACAGTCCTTAAATACTCCTCCCAAACTGGCAGGATGCCACATGGAGGCTATTTATTGGGCTGAAACCTTGGCAATTGAAGTGGAAGAATAATTGGACTTCTTTATAGCCTATGGGTGAATAAATTTTACTATCACTGCCATGTACACACAACAATTTGCATGAAGTTTTGACTAGAAACTTGCTTGGAGGGAGATGGGTGTGATGATACTACCTCCAATTTGAGATCCATAAACAACTGTTAGAGATCTTTTGTCCTTTTGTAAGATACATGAGCAAAACAATCAGTCCATTGATCAAGGTTTAAAATGTTGGTGTCAGTGGAAATGCCAGTCATCCAAATATAGGGAACATGTTGAAAATGTCGGAAATATTGTAAAAAGTTATGGACATGGTGGAAACATTGTCATTGTGAAATATGGAAAAATATGGAATAGTATTTTATGAAATTATAAAATAAGTTTAGGCACACCTTTTTAAATTATTATCTTGTTCCAAATATTAAACAAAGCTACAAAGCTAAGTTTATGGACAGAGTAATATATTGTGAAGTTGTACATGATAGAATGAGTTCAAGCAAAAATTTGAACTTATAGAAAATGCAAATGATTCTAATAGATCAACCAAATAATTGATTACACAAACAAAAACTATTTGAAAAGAATATCGAGTTGTCTCAAAGTGTAATCATGTAATGTTTTAAAACGCGGAGGCATGATGCGAGGTGTAGTTCGGAATGTAAGAAGCATAAGCCTCCTTAAGAGGAGGGGGATGAGGAAGAAAAGGAAGGAGAATCTCATTTTTCTTTATTTCTAATAAAAGTCTTTTATATTGGGAAGAATGAAGATGCACAACACTAGCTGAAAGGGGGTTTTGTCGAAGTGTGTCAATATTTTAAAGATTGGTTTATTGTTATTATGTCAAATTAATCCTTGTATTCATTGTGTTTTTTGCCTATTTCTCATCATACGTTGGTTAAGGTGCGGTGTGTTGTCTTCGGGAAACGCCCTAGCTTGAGCATGAAAGACAAATTAGGATCCATGTTCATTAGAGTTTGGCAAAATTTTCAATGCTAGCTGCCAACCTGGCACATTCCTATCCAGGCTCGGGACTAGTATTGTAAGACAAGATCACATTGGTGAAGTTTGTAATAAACAAAAGCTATCTTACAATTTATGATACAATTCACAATTTGATTTAATATGACTTTGTCCATGATTTATGATACGATTATGAATTCAGAATTCAGAATTCAGGCACTAAAATGCTTTAAGTTTTTCTAGTAATATTCCATATTTTACGATACATTTTTGCTTGTTGTCTTTGAACTAGTACCTTCTTTTTTTGTTTCCTTCTTCTTCTTCTTCTTATTTATCAGCAACACAATATCATAATTTCATTACTATTTAAGAAACAGGTTACAACAAGAAGTTGTTAGAAACCAGCAAACCCATTACAGGACTAGCCACCCAACACTATATTACAATTGTTCCCAGTAGATATGCTACCTTTGAACCCCTTGCCTTGTAAAACCATCTACCAAGCTGTTAGCAGATCTTCTAACCCATCTTATCTGAACATTCATGTCTTTTGATAACCATTGAAGTGTCTGAGTTCATTTCTACGCTGCCAAATCACCCCTCACACCTTTTTCCAACCATCTTACCATCTTCAAATCACTTTCAATGACCAAATTACCAATTCCCAATTCTTTAGTTTTCTCAACGCCAAGCACTGCTGCTAAAACCATGCTCATACCAAATCACCTTGCCATCAATACTTTCTTTTCCATGGTCAGCTGGTCAATTCTTCATCCAATGAGGCTAAAGCAACCAGTTACTACTTCCTGCCTTGACTACACTGGAAAAGAAGTTTTTTGGGATGCAAAAGAGGGTCTCAAAATGGATATTATGTTATACCTTTGATTTCATATTCATAAATGCCATATATAAGGTTTATGAGTGGGTAGTACTGGCAATTGACTGAATGATGATCTGGGTTCAATTTGAAGCAATGTTGTAAGACTAGGACTATCCACAAAACTGGGAAGGCTTGCGGGTCATGGGTTAGATGATCTGGTTGCTGGCTTAACCTAGTGACCCGTGACTTCATATTTATAAAATATAAAAATATTATGCATATATTTAAGTTGTAGTCAGATGGTTGTTGTTTTGGGTTTTAATATAAGTGACCAGGGTTTAAATCTTTTAATTTTGATTTTTTCCATTGTCTTTAGAGTGATTCACTTCGAGTTACCTTGTCACTATTTGAGTTGGATTGCCCTTGGCATATTAGAAGGCTGGTGGCTGATTGCAAAAATTTGATTGGGCCAAATCCAGATTTGCCTAGATCTGGTCTGATATGAACTCTAGGTGCTTACAGTCTGATGAACAAATCTTGAACTCAGTCTATCGATGTTAATGAAATGGAAGAAACACTGTCTGACCATCAATTAAGTCCATCATAGACGAATTCTCACTTGGAAGCCAAAATTCAAAAAGGGCAAATTTCTTAAACTACCCCTACTGTTTAACTATTGCCTTAAACTACCCCTACTATTTCTAACAATTGACTTCTCTACCCCTGCTGTTAGCATCCGTTAATGTAGCGTCAAAACCCGTACACACGTGACACCACGTGACATATAATTTTTTTTAAAACCCAATTTTACCCTTTGTCCTTCTCCCTCTCCCTCTCCCTCCTTCCTCCTCCTTCTCCTCCTTCACCTTCTTCTCCTTTCAGCGGCAACAAACCGAGTTCTTCACACCTTCTTCATGGTAGTCGTTGCCGGCAACAACACAGGGATGAAGACGAGTTCATCCCTAAGAAAAAAGGGTTGTCTTGTTGAGTAAAACAGCATCAAACTAGGAAAATACAAGTGGAAAGTTTTAGAAAGGGGACGATCTCCAATATTTTGGTTGAAGGAAACAGGGAGGTAGAAAAGAGAAGTGTTGCCGCAGACGAAGGAGAAGCAAAATATAGCACTGAGGACAGCAATCTTGAGGAACTGATGACGAGTGATGATGTGCTGAAAGGGGACAAAGCTATAAAGAATGGTGAGGAAGATGAGGTAGCGGTAGCCACAGTAGCTGAGGAGGTACTTATTCAGGAGGACTTCGGTGTTGAAGTACTAGGAAGCGATATTCATAAAAAAAAAAAGCGATGATTAGGGTCGTGAAGAGATTAGGAGACAACAGGCTCCTAATGTTGTTGTTTCACACATTGCCAGTTGGTGTTGTAGGGATGTTGACCACTTGTGTCTGTCATGTTGACCACCTGCTTGCTGTGCCAGAAGCGAGACGATCGTCATGCCGGAAACAACAGAGATGGAGTGATCGTCGTGCTGGAAGCGGAGATGATTCTGAATTGTATTTGGGGCAATGAGAACTCGGCTGCGAGGTGGCAGATGACTAGAGTATTTAACTCTGATGCACCACTCATTGAAGAATTCAATAATTGGTTGTGTGAAGTGGAGCGTCATGGGGGTGGATGATGGTCCTGTTTACTTCATTCCGGCTCTGGGAATTCAGAAGAAAGAGGACCAATACTGACCTGTAGGTGACCACCTGTGGATGATGGTCCTGTTTACTCCATTCCGCTGCCAAGGGGGACGGGTGTGAACTCAGAAGAAATAGGACCAAATACTTTTGTATGCATGGCTGCTATTGTGAAGCTGATGTTGCAAGAGAAGAAAGTTGCCTCATAGAGATCACTCCCTGTCTCTGTCGACCACCTGCTCAGCTTGTAGTCTTGGGTTGCTCATCAGCCTCGTTGTCCACGGTCGTGAATGCAGTGAGGAGCTGTGAGACTGATGACGCTGGTGAGGTTATTTTGGGAAAGATTGAAGACCAGGAGAGAGGACTGGTTGAGTGGAGAGATGGCACCACCTAAACAAGGAGGCACTGTTAGTACTATTGTCTAGTGTCTACTATGAGTCATCCATTCATCCTCTGTGTCATAACTGTTCCTCTCACCACCACCAAGCAAGCAGGCAAGCAAAATCCAAATCTGGAGTTCCTATTGCCACCATTATACACCTTTCGGGCCCCATAGTCTCCACATTTGAGGGATAGGCCCACCATTGGAGAGATTCAGACGATGATTCTCCATAAAACCGAATAGAACCCTAAACCCCTTTTGATTTGACGGTTGTTTCTCTGTCCCCTCAGCAGGTCCGGGGTGTATCATTGACTTGATCAATGGTAATAGCCTCAAGTTGGGGGAGGTTCAATATTTGGTCCTTGATGAAACAGACCAGATGCTTGCTCTTGGATTTTGCTTCCATCCAAGCGGTGAATCCACAACAGAGATAATGGTTCAACAGGTGATGGGAATCTGGGTTACAGTGACGATGATATGCATGGAACTGGGAAGGAAGTGCCAATGTTTGAGGAAAGATGGTCGGGATTTAATGGAAGGGTAAAACTGACTTTCCACCCTTTCTGTTAGACTTTAATGGTGATGACAATTGTCAGAAACAGTAGGGGTGGTGCAAGACAATAGTTAAACAGTAAGGTTATAGTTAGTCAATTTGCTAAACCATAAGGGTAGTTTAAGAAATTTGCCCAATTCAAAACTCTAGGGAAAAGGACTGGTTATCTGTTATCATAGCACCATCATCTAATCCTTGTCCCAATCACATGAAGCCTGTTCTCCCTTGCGGTATTGTTCAGTACTATATCCATTGTTGAACTGTGGGCTATTAAATCATTTCTCACTACTTGAATTCATGTCCTTTTTGGTCTGCCTCGAGCTCTTCCAGCTCCTTCAACTTGTAACAGATCACTTCTTACTGCTACCGTAGATATTCTTCTTTGGATGTGTCCAAACTATCTTATTCTACTTTCCTTCATTTTAACGCACTGCCAGAGTTACTCCTAGGTTTCTTCAAATGAATGCTGTTACTTCTGATGCTATACATGGCCCAAGTTCCTCTTTTATTTATTGTGATTGTAAACATTGAACTTGTGCTTCTTGTCCGAAGATAGCAAACAAATTTGTACTGATTCATTTGGATTTATTAAAATAATCATAGCTTCATGTATTTGATGTTTCATCTGTAAATAGAAAGAGCTAAATACGAGTGTCCTGAAAGGTTAATGATAGAAAATGGTATATATTGCCTTCTTTGATACCTAAAAGCCCAATATCTGGTGCAAACTGGGTACTGTTTTCAAATTTCCAAGAAACCACATGGATCTACACTTTGACAGTTTGATTAAAATGGTAAAAGATGGCAAAAATCTTCATGAGTATCAAATTTTCAAGGGTTTTTCAAGGGTTTTGAATCATCTCTTCTTGAATCTTGATCACATGTTCGCATTTTTATTCTTGCCTTTTAATGTGAGGGAAAGATGCAGTGTTTAGAAAACAGACTGGACCGACCGGTCAGACTGGTTGAATGGACCTGTCCCCTGGTTGGTTCAGTCACACCCCAAGAATTGTAATGTCTAAAAACTTGGTAAAAATTGGCTGGCCATCCGGTTTAACCGGAAACCGGTGAACTGGTCCCAGTTTCATGAGACCACCTGGGTCACTATGTAATTGAAATTCTAAAATGAGTGTGACAAGACTTGAACCCATGACCTCTTATTTTCATATATAGCTTAATTATCACTAATCCACCTCTTTACTCGTGCTATTTAATGACTCTTTATTGTATATATTACTCTACTACATACATATTTTAAAGAAAATGTAAATTAAGAGACTTGAACCTTGGTCATTTGCTTTAAAAATTAAGGAATTTGCTATCCATCATATTTAAGTATATTAAAAGTTGTAAAATATATTATATATAGTATTTATATAATCCATAATATATACATATATGCCACATTATCACGGTTTGACCCCAGTTGAACCTCTGACCCATGAATCTCTCCCTTCTCTGGTTCTATGACCGGTCCGTTTCTCTGAACATTGGAAAGATGACTGTTAATGGATGTATTATCTTTTGTGTAGGTATTTGATACTCCTCATGTGCAAGTATTGGTTGGCAAAAGAACTCGAAAACGTCTAGATGCAAAGTCTATAGTTCTATTGCTGCAGAGTATTCATGCACCACTAGGTATGAGATGGCCCTTTTATCTTTTAAAGGTCTCTGGGCATTTTACTTTGACATTTTAGGAGTATAATTTTATTGGTGATGAATTTCAATTACTTGCCCTGTATATGGTAATAGTTTGATGCTAATTTGTGGTAGCAGCTGGAGATGGTTTCCATCTAACTATGGTCATGAATCGGAATTACTTGTTCATATTGCTTATATGTAGTTCATAAAGTGGTTGTGGACCAAAATTAATATTGCCTAGAAGTTTTAATGCATTTATGCAGGAATTCTAACTCCCCCCACCCGATTGATAATATTCTTATCTGGTAATTTTTAGTGAAAACCATTGGTTTGGAGTGCAAAAAAACTGTAAATAATACAAAATTAATATGCTTGATGTGACTTTTATGGTGTCTACTGATAGCCAATAATGGGTGGTCATTCCAGGTAATATCTGCACATTCCTTTGAATTGTGTTACAGTCTTACAGATATATGTGTGACAGAGCACAAATCCCTTACATGATTTGGCACAAACCTGAAGAGGCAGATGGAAGAGGTTTAATGAATTTTTCAAAAGCCCCAAGAGTATTCCGGAAGATTCAAGAAGTCCCTTGAACATTATAGATACTTGTACAGTATTCCAGAGGTGTTCTAGAGCATTCTTGTAGAGATATCTAGAAGTCTATAATAATCTTAACCATTGGATGTATGACACATGTACATATCTAGACTGCTTATTATACAGCCCAAGGGCTATATAAGGAGGAGCCTCTTATTTGGTGAAGCATCCAAGAGTTGTAATCCTTTTCTTGAGCAATACAAAGAATTCCTCGAGTTCCTTTACTCACATTGCCTCTGTGTCTGCAAGCTTGTCCTTAAGTAGCCCAAGTGTGTCCTAAGTGTTCCTAAGTGTGTGGATTGAGTGTGGTGCCTAACTTGTTCCTAACAGCCAGGAGTGTGCTCTAGATGGGAAGGCTGACTTGTGGAGTGATGGACTGCTGCCCAAGTGCTGCATAAGATAATCAGTGTCTTTGAAAGCCTTGGCTGCAGGACTACCCTGAATATTGATCGTCATCATCATCATCATCATCTAAACCTTATCCCAACCATATGGGATTGGCTACATGAATCCTTTTTTTCCCTTCCATTCTGTTTAGTGCCATATCCATTGCTACTCTGTATAATGGATATGATGCTCGATTATGGTGGCTGGTGGCCTAGGATGTAGGTGATAATACTGGGGTGATGTATGTAGCCCCTACAATTCTTTGTACCAACCTCTTCCTATAAATTTGGGATGCGTGTGTGTGGGAGGGGGGGATTGTGATAGAAAATGGGCTCCTGACTTACAGATTCTTTCAGGCTTATAGAAGTTTTATGAAACTTTATGGTTGTTCCCATTACTGTCCTTTGCCAAAATTTTTGATAAATGGGAAAATTTTATTAGAGATAGGAGAATAACAGATACAAGAGATCCATGGGGAGGCACAAGTTGTGACCTCCCCAAACAATAAAAAATTAAAAATTAAAACAAATTACAATTGTGCCCAATATAACTATTCCCTATTTGCCCCTTGCTTGGCTAAACTATCAGTCATAACATTAGTTGATTTCCCCACCCATTGTATTCTGAAACACAGATTTCTTGTCAGACACTTGAATTTTTTAAGTTCATTCTTAATATCTCATAGTACCAAACCAGTCTTTGGGTTCTGTAGCCACCCCACAACCACCTTGGAGTCACCTTCTATTAGTAGCTGTTCCGCTCCTAGTTGTACTGCAAATTGTACCCCTTGGAGGGCAGCTAGTAATTCTGCCCTAGTGGAGTCTCCCTCACCTAAAGGGCCTGAGTATAAGAGAGTCATATTACCACTTTCATTCCTTAGAACCCCTCCCATCCTAGAGGGACCTGGGTTACCTTGACTGCTGCCATCAAAATTTAGTTTCATAAGGCCTTCAGAAGCGGGTACCCAACTCATGTGCACCTTGTTCTTTAGGGAGGAGCTGCTTGCCAGTGCTATCCAATGCCTCCAAAGATCATTAAAAGAAAATTGGTGAAACAAGTCCAAAGATTTCAGCCACGAGATATCCCTATACAAGATATACTCCTTCAGTTCTTGTTAGCTTTTCTCCTTCTCTTGGAATATCCTGGCATTCCTTCATTCTCACACATAGCAATGCTGCTCTTGCACACCTTCACATTATTCTTATTCTTTGTTGACACCAAGTGAAGGTAGAGGGATCAAAACACATGCTTACTTCTGTTGGCCTATTCCACCTGCACCCAAAAATCAAGAGGAGCCTATCCCACAACTCTGTAATAACATGACAGGAAATTAGTATGCCCATGTGTACCATAGTACTTATTGTCCATGATCAAGTTGCACAAGACCCCCACTAACAGCCTTGTATGCTATGTGTACCATAGTACCTATTGTTCATTTCAATTTAAATATCTTAGGGGCTGCCAACTCTGCCAATGTGAGCTTGTCTTACATTGCTGGCCCAGGCCTGGATAAAGGAGGGTGGCGTTAGGTTGGCAGCCAACACTATAGCTTTTGTCAAACTCTTATGAGGGGCTGTTTGATAATGGCTGAAGTGGATGATGTTATGGGCCCGAGCGTAGGATCGCGTCACGGGTCGCTCCACCGCAGGAACCTCAGATCTTTCCTTGCCCTTGGCCTTGCGTGCAGGCCCTATTTT